AGGAGTTAAATTAAACCCCAAACCAAGTCCATTGCCACCGAGTCCATTCCAACATGTGTTCAAAGTAAAACTGCTCCAAGTCCATTGCCATCAAGTCAATTCCCATGTATGCAGAGTAGAACTGCTCCATAGAATTTCCAAGACGGTCAGGTTTTAGAAGTAGCTCAACAGGCCTTTCTTCCAAGGTGCCTCTGGGTAGATTTGAACCACCAACCTTTGGGTTCATAGTGGAGCGCTTAACCATTTGCACCACCCCACCTAGGAGCTCTGGGACAGAGGTAGGTAGTGTAGACACAGTGACTTCAAAGGTCTGTAGAGACCAAGGTCAATGTTGGAGGTTAAAGATTCCAGCGGCCCCAGCCAACCCAGCGGCCTCACTGTGAGTGCTCCCTGCAACCATGATCACACGCAAGCTCATTCTCACATCCCATCCCGCAGTAAAATAAGCATCTGCATCGCCATCGACTGCTAAGGAAATGAAAGCACAGAGAGATCAACAAACTTGCTCAAGGCGCACAGCCAGCAAGCAATCAAGCTGAGTCTGTCCTCAGATCTGTCTGATTCCAAATGTTCTGCACCCACCCTGGGTGGTACTAACCTTTGCCATGTTGGCTTCTTCTGGAGACCCTTTTCCCAGCAGGGGGGCAATTCTGGTTTGTGTTCCTGAAATGACCAGGGAAGCCTTCCCCAGCCCTAATGTTTCTACTTCCACCAGATGCGGCCATTCCCTCCAGAATCTGCTCTGTGTGGGTCCTTCCCACCTTTTTGCTGATTCCACTTCAAGGAGGGAGACTCGGGTGGGAAGGAGACCTGGGAGGGGGCAGCCCTGGGGAACTGTGATGCTTAGACCACAAGTCTTTCCAGAATCCTAGGGAATCTGGTGAAAATACAGATTCCCAAGTTCCCCAACCCCTTCCTGGTGACTTGGAACCTGTATTTCACAGGCTGTCTTGGAGATTCAGATGCACACAAAAGAGTGAACTCCACAGGGGAGGGGGGTGTGGTGGGGGGGTGGGAGCGGGGCCAGGTTCCTCGCTGCTGTCTGTTTCTAAAGGCCTTTCCAGAAGGGGAGCATGGGACTCCCAACTGGAGTCCCACCACACTTCCACCTCAACCTGAGTTACCTGTTCAGATGCCAACTGTCTGCCAGGAATTGTCCTCTCCCTCTGACTAGCCGCTGGACCTCTTCGACACAGTGGGGATTAATTGGTAGCAGGCAGGCTTTGTGCAAAGGATTAGCAGGTACCAGACCAGGACAGGGGTGGAGGAGAAGAGGTTGATGCTCCTCCCCTCAGAGGCTGAAAGGGCGTGGCCAGTGCACAACAGGGAATGGGCCCCAAGAGGCAGTTTGGGAGCATACCTTGGTCAAGTTCCAGAGTGGCTGGAGGGAGGACAGAGGCTTGGAGATCCCTCACGTTGTCAGGGGCTTGTCAAGTCTCAGCAGCAATGACAGGAGGCTTGCTCCAGCACTCCAGCCTCAATGCTGAAACCCAGGCTGATTCTCTCTGGCCCTGTGCGTTCTGAAGATTAGACAGGGCCTCAACAGCCTGCCTTGGGCTGGTCCTGAATGGTTGTGGTCCCTGGGCCTCGAGGCAAGGAAGACATTGCCTGGACACTGGGATCACACTGGAGAGGGGAGATTGTTGTCGGGCAGGGAGGGGCGGTGAGGAACAGAGGCCCTGTGAGGAAGGGGCTGCCTGAAGTGACAGGAACCAGAGTGGGGTGGGAGGATGTTCAGCAAAGTGGCAGATATTTGACTGGATTGGCTACACTATTTCTGTAGCTCTCCCTAAGTGTCAGCCTTAGTATATCAACAAGACAGACCTAGGTCATGGAGTTTGCATTCTAATGAAGAGACAGACATGAAAAAGAGCCTTGCAAACCAAACCCATTGTTGTCAAATTGATTCTAAGTCACAGGGACCTGATAAGATTGAAGTGAGTAGAATTGCCCACAGGGTTTCCAAGGCTGTCTTCTTTCTGGAAGCCGACTGCCTCACCCTTTTCCTATGGAACCACCTTAGAAACTCTATGGGTTCAAATCTTTTGGTTATCAGCCAAGTGCTTAACCACTCACTGTACTACCAGACTCCTTTAAAATAAATTGTTAAGTGCCTTTGAGTCAATTCTAACTCATACTGACCATGTATAGGGTTTCTGATGAGTGGCTGGTGAGTTTGGACCACCAACCTTGCAGTTCAAACCAACATTGCAGTCCAGTGCCTATCCTACAGTGCCACAGAAGGACTTCATAAGAAAGATTAACCTTTAAATATATATATACTGTTTTTGTTTTGAAACAATAAAAAAAAGTGTATTATTGCAATTATTCTAAGTGCCATAAAAGAAACAAACAAGGCAGGAACATGGGGTAGAGGCCATCTTAAAGAGGGTGCTTGTGACCAACATACATACTTGAGTTGAGGCATGGAAAGCAAGAAAGGGTCAGGTGCCAGGAGATCTGGGTGAATGGTGTTTCAGCTCAAGGGTATAGCCAGGGAGGGCCTTGTGGCTGGGGCACCGGGAGCTTTTCAGAGACTGAGTTTTCAGAAGAACATCTCTGCACATTTCTTGTGAGGGACTTCTGGGTGGACTGAGACTTCCAACCTTCCAGTTAGCAGTTCAGTGCCTACCCACCCAGGGATCTCCTGTCTTTAACTGCCCTTGGTGTGTGCCGGAGGGGGTAAACATAAATAAATCAAGTTTGTTGCTGTGTGCCATCGAGTTGTAGTGACAGCATAGGAAGAGAAGAACTACCCCATAGGGTTTTCCTAGGCTGGAATCTTTATGGGAGCGGATCGCTGAGTCCTTTCTCCCAAGGAGCCTCTGGGAGTGTTAAAGCCGCCCACCACTTAACTAGTGTGTTACCAGATCTAGCGTAGCTCAACATAAGCCCGTCTTTAAAGTAGGCTATGCCTTTTTAAAACAGTTGTGTTGTTACTGTTGTTGTTGTTAAGTGCCATCGTGTCGGTTCCAACCCATAGCGACCATGTATAGGGTTTCCAAGGAGCAGCTGGTGGGCTTGAACCACCAACCTTGCAGTTCAAACAACTTTGCAGTCCAATGCATTAGCCCACAGCATGACACCAGGACTGCTTTGTTGTTGTTATGTGCCATGAAGTTGGTTCCGACTCATAGCGACCTTGTACAGGGTTTCCAAGGCTGTAAATCTTTACGGGAGCAGAAAGCCTCATCTTTCTCCCGCAGAACAGCTGGTAGTTTTGAACTGCTGACCCTGATGTTAGCAGCCCAATTCATAACCACTACGCTACCAGAGCTCCTTTGTTGTTGTTGTTATGTGCCATGGAGTCGGTTCCGACTCATAGTGACCCTGTACAGGGTTTCCGAGGCTGTAAATCTTTACAGGAGCAGAAAGCCCCATTTTTCTCCCGCAAAACAGCTGGTAGTTTCGAACTGCTGACCTTGCAGTTCACAGCCCGATTTGTAACCACTACGCTACCAGAGCTCCTTAGGACTGCTTTATTGAGGTATAATTTACATTCCATAAAAATTCACCCCTTTCCCCCTCTATACTCAGAGTAGAGAGGGATGGGCAACTTGGACATTGGCTACCCAAAATGGGGGGACTACAAAGGCAAGAAGTGACTGGCTTACAAGCTTTCAAGAGGGAGCCTAGATCCAGAGGGTACTGTAGGTTTGAACTGCAAAATCAGTGGTTCAAGCTCACCAGCCGCTCCTCGAAAACACTATAGAGTCGCTATGGGTCGAAATCAACTCAATGGCACTTAACAACAACATAAATGAAGAGAGAGTCATCTGGGAAATTTTTCTGGGAGGAGTGGAACCTGGGGATGCTGCCTTGGGGGCTGTATGCAGCATTGTTGTTGTTGTTAAGTGCCGTTGAGTCGTTTCCGACCCATAGTGACCCTGTAAAGGGTTTCCGAGGGTGTAAATCTTTACGGGAGTAGAAAGCCTCATCTTTCTCCTGCGGAGCGGCTGGTAGTTTCGAACCGCTGACCTTAAGGTTCGCA